TGCTGGAAGGTAACACACCTTTGTGAGCTCTGTACATTAACAGCAAAATATTATATTCAACCAGATCTTAGAATTTCAATTATTTTATTTCATAAAACAATATATTTGATGGATGTCTGTAATAATTCTTAGAACTCTTTTCTGTAAGAATAAAAAACATGATTTGGGATAGCTTTGCAAGGTTTACCCCAGACTTCAATACAGTAAATTAAATGTGGAACAGTTATATAGGGATGTTGACATTTCGTCAGCAGCTGCTGCCATTTTCTTCCCAAACTGCTGTGGCCAGATTTTACAAGGCTGCTCTGTGTGTTTGCTTGTAATTTCCTCCTGCTTCATTATTTCTACGAATTTCAACAAATCGGGCTGCAGTCAGGTAGTTAGCTACAGCCTCGACTTCGTGTTTTTAATTTTTGTTGATGCGTTTTGAAGACAATTTTTTGAAAAGAGGATCAAAGTAAATCACCTGAGTTTTTCTAGTGACCCCTTAAAGAGATAAGCTGCCATGAAAAACATTATTTTATCTGCCCTTTTCCAAATTTGATAATGATTTGAAACGTCGAAGTATATATTTTTTTCTCCGGAACAGCGCTTGTTGCAAAGTGTTTTGATGCTCGTCTTCGTCACTTGACACATTTAACACACTGTCATTGGTTGAGGAGCTTTGTTTGCAAAACAGATGTCCACATGGTTTTTAAATTGTTTTAATTTCCTTACTTTCTAAGACACATTAAGTTGATTTGATGCTACAGTTTGCCTTGTAATGTTATTTTATACCTTTTCTTCTACTTTTGAATTGACTATTATTAAGTTTTATTAGTTTTTTAGGATACAAGATGCTTCCTACAAAACCAGAATGTGAATCTTTTCCTAAAATTTCATGGCGATATCTTGAACACTGAGGAAGTTATGAGCAAAATTAGAAAACAGCAGGTGAAATGGTCCCATTGGTTCTGCTGTGACCTGCAGCAAGAAAACATGAGCTGATTTCACCTAAACAAACATCAATAACTTCCCTCATACTTCAGATATTCACATGATTTTGGTGTTATTTTGTATGGTTTGAAATGTTCGCTGTCAGATTTAATATTGGTGTAGGATTAAAAATTTATCCACATCCCTACATTATAGCATTATACAACATAAATAGTGCTTTTTCATTGGAACAGTTCTCTTACTTTGTACATGACTCCAGTTTGGCTATTTTTGTTCTTATTTTGTTCTTAAATTATTTCTATGGTTTTTCTATGTCAGGTTTTCATCAATGACACCCAGCTACTTCTGAGCAAAGGAACAAAAGCTCTCAGACGTAGGGTATTCCCCGGCAATTTTACAGCCATAATAACAAAATTAGTCAAAATCGTAGTTTTAAGCCTTGGTACTAAAAGGGTTAACATCTTCAAACAGCCGCTGACAGTTCAGATGACTGCTCCAGTCTCAAAGCATGCGGGGAGCACCGTACCTTACAGCGGGGGAGAAGCGACCTTCTGCCGGCATGACGCAGACAGAGCCCCCCGGCTCTAGAACCGGAGCCGGATAGCAGCACCGCTGACCGGCTGACCGTCAGCTGAACACCTTGAACCAACCTGGGGAACATTTTAAACACACCGAATTCGCTTTGACCGGGTCATCCGTTAAGATTCACGGACGTCACAGTACTTCCTGTAACTTCTTCTTCTGTGGTGTTTAACCAGTTGTGTTTCTGCCACCTGCTGGCGGTGTTAGTCCACTACAACCTTTATGTTCCAAAAGACAAATTAAAGGTCTGGGGTCTGATTTATAAAGGATTGAGTGGAAACCATCATACATGACAACTTGTACGTTATTTTGCAGGTATACAGACGTATAGAGCAATCTCACGGATTTTTTTTTCAAAACCTCATTTTCAAATTTATCTAACATGTCAGAACCTGTAGGACGATTTAAAAACAATAAATAACATCAAACATCCATCTTCCAACCTGTTCTGCTGCTGGAAATAAGTTTTGAATTTTTTTCTGCTCTCCTTTCCTCCACTTGCAGCAGGCGCTTTCATGTCTGCAGCCGACAGACCCCCCCCCCGTGGGTGTTGTGGATTGTTTGTAAAATTTACGGTTTTTTTTTTTAGGTTCTTTATACAGGTACACGTCCGAAGAGTTTGACATGTAAGAACCATACTAAAAGTGAATGTACGGCCAAAAGGCGAAAATGGCATACACCAATAATAATAA